GAAAGAGAGGGCACAGAAGAAGCACTCAGCCTGGATCAAGCAGCCATCACGAAGTCTGATCAGACAAAGGGCTGCAGGCGACCACTGGCCTGCATTCCAGACAGAGGACCTAAGACCTTGGCTTCAGCCTTCCCCAATGCCTGCCCCTCTCTGAGGCTGTGAAGAAGGCATCAAAGAACCCCTAGTGCCCCTAAACCACCTGCTCAGAACAGAATCCTTCAAGGGCTTCCCACACTGACAGTCATCAAATGAAGGTACTGCCTGTACATATTATAGACACATTATGTTTGCCTCCTAAATCAGTCATTGTCCTCAGTCTTTTTTTAATGCTAATGCATTTATATGCCACTGTTTTGAAAAAAAAATTAGACTTCAAAAAAAAAAACCCACACCTGTGACCTACTTGCCTTTAAAAGCTCCATCAAGTGCTTAAACCAGGGAGGGAGTGCATCAAGGACAAGACATGAGACCAATGAAACCCATGCGAAGTAACCAGGAGCAAAATTTTAATCCTAGATGTGCTTTCCCTTGCCACTCGGCTTTCTTTTGGGTAATCATTCCAATGGTTGGTTTGAATATATTAAGTAAATTTGTATTTATGATATTAGCCAAAGCAGAAAATTAGAAATGTAAATCTACCACCAAAAATGCATTCATGATATATTCTAAAATCACACACACACACACACACACACACACAAATTACCCATCCCATTCATATCTGTTGATATGAACTGGAATTTTATTGCACCTTGAAAAGGTATAACATGCCACTTATTTGTATATTATTACACCTAGTATTTCATTATACACTTCATAGTTTACAAAGTACTTTCGCATATTAGCTCATCCAATTCTCACAACAACCTCATCATGAAGGTGTTTTTTGGACCATTTTACATGAGAGACAACTAAGGCTCAAAAGTGTGATGTGCGCTGCCTGAAGTCACATGTCTACCAAACTGCAGCACCAGAACTGGAAAGCAGGTCTTCTGACCCCAAGGCATTGCACTCTCACCGCACAAGATGCCCTTCTTGATTCCCACCACATCCTTTTAGTCTAGTGGAATCCTGTATCTTTCATCATCTTCTTATTTGGCCTTAGCAGTTCACAGTCATGTGTGGTTCACATGGCCATGACTGGTTCAGTCTCTCCTTTCTTTTCCCTTTCCATTATAGAATGGCAAAAAGAAACAAAAGGAGATGACATACCCTGGTAAAGCCTTTGAGAATATAAACCTAAAACAGATCAGGATGAGAAGGTTTGCATTCAATGAAAATCTACCTGGCATCCCAATTCCTAGTTGTACCATTCTAAGCCTTACATTCCTACTCCTCGGGAAACCTTATCATCGCCCATTCCCCTGACAAATTTGAACATGGTGTGTGTGTGTATGTGTGTGTGCATTGGGGGAAATTCACAAAACATGAAAGCTTCTATAGGCGAATTCTTTCCCTGCCAATGCCCTCTAAGCAAACTGAGTGGTAGCACAAAATCAGAGCTAAGACCATGGTACTTTTTTCAAGTTAGAAAAAAGAAGGCCCATGTCTGAATGACAACTACATGTACATAGGTCAAAGGGTATGAATCTGTTTACATACCAGAGGCTAAATGGTGAAACACTTATTACACATTTAATTGGGAACATTTTTTTAAAATATTTATTTATTTATTTATGGCTGTGTTGGGTCTTTGTTTCTGTGTGAGGGCCTTCCCCAGTTGTGGCAAGCGGGGGCCACTCTTCATTGCGGTGCGCAGGCCTCTCACTATCACTGCCTCTCCTGTTGCGGAGCACAGGCTCCAGACGCGCAGGCTCATTAATTGTGGCTCATGGGCCCAGCCGCTCCACAGCATGCGGGATCCTCCCAGACCAGGGCTCGAACCCGTGTCCCCTGCATTGGCAGGCGGACTCTCAACCACTGCACCACCAGGGAAGCCCTAATTGGGAACATTTAATCAGAGATGGCAACCACATAAGTACCAACTATTTAGGTGCCTGATTAAAAAGGAAAGAGACTAAACTAAGAGCTAATAATAACCTTTAAGACTAGCATTTCAAAAACAACTTAAGTTGGTAACTGGCAAAGCCTGTTATTTGTTTTTCTTCTGAGAAAACGAAGCTGACAAAGGGAAGGCTCTTCAAACACTAAGGGTTTTTTTTAGCCATTAGAGTGGCTTTCACAACCAATGGTTTGGTTTCATTTTAAAGCAACTATGACCTTGATTATACATTAAGATTAGTTATTTAAAATACCAAATTATTCATCACCCATTTGATCTTAAGAACAGCTCCCAAACTCTTTATTCAGATAAAGAATAACATTATTTATACCTGTAAGATCATCTACCATTTTTTACATGTCAATAGCTGACATATAGATTCAGATTACTTTGGCAACCTCATAAATAAGCCTGAAAAAGGATACTTTTTCTGCACAGCAAACCTATATCTGGAAAGAATGTAACACAGAGGAACAACTCTAGGCCCTCCAGTCAGAGGGACAGGCATAACCCTGACTCAGTCCTGCACCACCTACATAACCTCAAACGTCACTTAATCGTTCTCAATTTGGCTTCATCATCAGTAAAATGCAGGACATTCTCTACATGTCTGTGAGTGTCCAGATGTGTGTTGGGCTGGTGTGCAGAAACACAGCCTCCTGCTCCTCAAGCATCCATTGTGGAGAGGGGACTTAAGTTCCATCCCTCCTCCCTTGAAGGTGATGCAGTAAGAAGGGGCCATGTGATCTCTGAAGGGGGAGATTGGCTTGACCCTGACTTGTAGCCTTGACTCTCTTACGGAAAGTGGGGGAGTGCTCTTGCTCCCATGGCCTCCATGCTATGAGCAAAAGAGGCAGCCTTTGGTAGGCCCAACAATTTCTAGGATCTCTCCATTTCAGCCTCCCTATCTGTGACTGTGACCGACTTGGTGGCTAAAGGGCATCTGTCTTCAATTCATGAGGTCGGCAGTAAGGAGCCCCATTACCAAGGGCTAAACTATATCATCCAAGATGCGTCACCAGGGACTTCGGGTCATAAATTGATCATTCAGTTGCCAGTTAGCTCCTTCTGTCTGTTTATAAATGAGTTGGAAACCTGGGGGAGAAGGGGTGTGAGGTAATCTACCACCCTCACATTCTTACAGAGTTTCTGTGATGATCAGAAATAATGTATGTAAAAACAGAAATAAAGGATATATGCAAAGTTCTTTATATCATATGCTCCATAAATAACTATATTTGTGTGGGTTGGGAAGAGTTTAAAAACCTTCTGAAAACTGCAGAGTTGCTTTGACAGAAGAACCAGCCTGATGGGCAGGCACCCTCTCATAAAATGAGTTGTAACTGTTCCCTCCTCTATGTTCTGAAAGATTTTGTGTAGGACTCATTATTTCTTCCTTAAATGCTAGATAGAATTCACCAGTGAAGCCATCTGGGCTTACATAAAGGTTTTTAACTATGAACTCAGTTTATTTCATTAATATAGGGCTGTTGAAGCTTTCCATCTCTTCTTGGGTCAGTTTTGGTAATCTATGCCTTTCGAGAAATTTGTCCATTTCACCTGGGTTGTCAAATTTATTGGTACAAAGTTGTTCATATTATTCTCTTATTGTCCTTTTAATGTATGAAGGGTCTATACTGATGTCCCCTCTTTCATTCCTAATATAGGTAATTTGTTTCTTTCCTCTTTTATTTTTTACCTTGATTGATCTATCTAGAGGTTTATCAACTTTGAAGGCATTCTCTACTTCCTAAGGATGTTACTGAGTTTTATTGGCAGCCAAGATCTCTCTTCTCTAGGCTCACTGAAAAGGTTTCCTTTAGTCCCCTTTCAGAAAGACAGCCGAAACAAGGTCCTTGGCTGTTATCTGAAGTAGGCCCTTTTGGAGGCTAAATTTTCACAGAATAGTCCCACAATGGGGAGGAAGGGAGCCACTCACACTATTTATAAAGGTATTTGGTATTTTAAGTGTCTAGGGGCTTAGGCCCAACTTTGCTGCTGAACACAATGACCCTCCCTCAATAATGATATTTTTTTAACTTTTTACTTTGGAGTAATTACAGATTCACAGAAGTTGCAAAAATAGTGCAGAGAGGTCCCGTGGTACCTTCACACATTTTCCTCCACTGGTTATATCTCACATAATTGTAGTGCAATATCAAAACCAGGAAACTGACATTGGTACAATGTGCGTACATAGTTCTGTGTCATTTTATCACACTTGTAGATTCTTGTAACCACCACTGCAATCAAGATGCTGAACTGTTCCACTGCCATGAAGATTTCCCTCATGCTACCCACTTTATAGTCACAGCCACCCCGTCCCCTTCTCATCCCCACCATCCCTAACCCCTGGCAACCAATAATTTGTTCTCCATCCCTATAATTTTGTCACTTCTAGAATGCTATATAAATGAAACCAGATAGTATGTGACCTTTTGAGATTGGATGTTTTTCACTTAGCATAATGCCTTTGAGATCTATCCAGGCTGTTTTGTGTGTCAATAGTTTGTTCCATTTTATTGCTGAGTAGCATCCAACATTTTGTTTGCTTCCAGTTTGGGGCTATTATGAATAAAGTTGTTATGAACAACCATGTACAGTTTTTTGTGTAAACAGAAGTTTTCATTTCTCTGGGATAAATCCTCAGAAATAAAATTGCTGGGTCATATGGTAATTTCAACTTTACTTTTATAAGAAACTGCAAATATGTTTTCCAGAGTGGCCATACCATTTTACATCCCACCAGCAATGGATAAGAGTTCTAGACTTTAAAACAGAAATGAGTCACTGATGATGAGTCAACTGTAGTCTCTGAGTGGGTACAGAACACAGTAATAAGCAATCTGAGAAAAGGAAAAAAACTAGAATATTGTACAGGAAAATTAAAGCAGAGATTCCCATGCTTTAAGAAATACTGGCAAAAATTCCTTACCTTCTTTAAACTGTATCCAGCATGGAAAATAATTGGAGGCAGCAGAATGTTGAAAAAGACCTCTGGATCAAATGTTACCTAAAAGTTTAAAAAGAAAAAAAGCCATTTTTTGGTTGAATACCAACTGGTGCCATAATATTTGCTTAATATTTTAAGCCACTGACTAAAGTTTGAATATTTAAAACAAATGACATAAATGTGAAAAATCATAGACTCAGCACAGTAGAGAAGCCACAGCTCCCATGAGCACTGGCCTGTTCTTCTCCACACAGTACTTCTGCCTTCTACTCTTGGTGTGTTGTTGAATACGTATTAAGACACAACAATTCAATGCAATTTTGAGAACTCACAGAAAGCTTCTGGTCAATGTTCTTAAACAAGAAATGAAAACATCTTGATTTTTATCAAACCTTTATAAAGGTTCAACTACAATAAAAGATGCAATCATGAGTCTTTATTAATTTCCTGTATCCTACCACATAATGATTTATAGACATAATCTTACTGAATTTGTCTCTTTTGAGCGACCAGCCATTTGTGATACGTAATGTGGACTAGATCAAAGTCTCCAGTGGTGCTAGTGACTTCCTGAATATCAACATAAATTCATTAACTCTAAGGGGACTAAAACTACCTGTAGGCAATCAGGGAAATCACTCTGAAACTATCAGCAAAGCCTTATCACATCCAGAAAAGAATTAAACATTGTATAGAGCCTCCTAACCTTTTTTTTTTTTTTTTTTTTAATGGTATGCAGGCCTCTTACTGTTGTGGCCTCTCCCGTTGCGCAGCACGCAGGCTCCGGACGCGCAGGCTCAGCGGCCATGGCTCACGGGCCCAGCCGCTCCGCGGCATGTGGGATCTTCCCGGACCGGGGCACGAACCCGTGTCCCCTGCATCAGCAGGCGGACTCTCAACCACTGTGCCACCAGGGAAGCCCCCTCCTAACCTTTTTAAAGAATTTGTTCACGTTGGTAGATTAACTGGCTCTTATTTCACTTAATTATTTTAAATCTCCATTCTAATTATTAAATGTAAACAGACATTAGTGTGGTATTACACTGGGTATCTTTCTCAGTTGCATTTAATTTCACAAATGTTTATGGAAATCCCATGCATTCTTATGAAGGATTGAGAGCAAAGAGCTCACTAGGACCGCCCTTAGGGACAGAGAGAAGATGGGCATGTTGAATGCTCCAGGTTGAGAATAATTTTCTTTAAGGATTATGGCAGATCCTGAGAACAATAATAATTTAATTTTTGGAGCACAGGCTACACTCTTTGACTGCAAGCTTTCACATATTAAAGGAGTCTCCCACAACTTGGATCCCCAGACTTTATACGGAAGCCCTCCTGCTGATAAGCCCGGGTCTATAAGGTACTAGAATGTATGTGGATAAATACAGATCTTGTGCTTATCCTGGAAATCACCCAAGTGAAATGAAGAGATATATAATCCCTTTTCCTGTGAAGTATTTTAGCTACCCCCAACATTAAATGAAAAACAACATGTGGACTCACATTATAAGACAACAAAACATTTTTCCTCTGAAGATTCATTAAGCCTTTGGCATCAATCACCAATGAGAGTGGGAAACTCAATAAATGTTTGTAGAATATGGTAAAATAACCACAAAGAAGTAAGAATAACACTTCTGAACACTGATTATAACAAGCTAAAAGAAAAATAAGAAACCAATCTTAATTTAAGAAAGAAACAATCTCATCCCTAAACCATAACAAGAGTAAGAGACATAATCAAAAAGAGATGGGAGTTGGACAGAGGAGCTGAGTGGGATGTACGAACCCACTGCACCATTGGTGGCCCACATCAGTCTGACAAAGCTAAAAGGCTCAAGTTCAAATCTGGTTCCTTCTCCTCATCACAGTCCAAAAGCTTCCTAGCCAAACTGACAGCCAGGAATGTTACTGATGTTCCAGGAGTGTCAAAAGATTTCTGTTCACAAAGTTGAGACAGAATCAGAAAATCAAAAACCACGTCAGGACCAAAGTGGCTGAGTGGCCCAAGCTCACCTTCCTCAGCATGTCATTTTGCTCTACACTGTTGACCTTGCCAGGGCTGATTTCTCCTTTCAGGGTATATTCGAAGAACTTCCCACTGACATTCACTAATAAGGTGCTGAAGGCCCTGTCTTCCTGAGTGCAGCTGAGTGACTTGTCATGACCACTGGTGGCAGTGGTGCCGTACCTCAGGATCACCCCGACGATGAGCCCTGAAACAGAGTGGAAGAAAACATCAGGCCTGTGGAAGGACACAGAGAGCGTGGGAATAATGGCAACAACTAAGAAACTCTGAAGTAATCTCAGAGACCAGGTAGATGATGTGTATTTTAGGGACAACTACACAGTCCTTCAAAAGGGTTAAGAATCCATCTATTCTGGTTTGAGTCCCTCAGCCACCAAGAGGACAGTACCTTTCGGGATTATGACAGTACTCCGAGTACTATGAACCACTGATCATGTCTCATTTCTCAGGTTTCTGCTGGAGGAAGATGGGGTGATAAGAGGCCAAGTTTTTTTCTGCCTAGCACAGCACAAAGCAGAACCACTGAGCTCTTTGATTTGCACCAGCAGCATCCCTCAGGCCATCCGCCAGTGAGGACAAGGCCTCGGGAATTTCTAGTTGTTACAAATGCAATTTGTTTTGCCACACACTAGAGGAAGGGAAAAAAAAAGAAAAGAAATGCTTTTGCTGAGGTCATTTCAAGTATTGGGTATCATGGAGAAAATAATTACATCCCTTAGGGAGCTAAACAGCACAGTGCCAATTTTCGCAGTCATGATTCAGGGACTGGAGAGCTGGCTTCTTGGGGCTATGCCATTGACACAGCTAGCAATAATTAGCTGCAAGTCTTTCCGTCTCATTCTGTTCTTAGCAGGGTTTTCCCTTTAGGAGGAAAAAAACAGGAAAATTGTGTGTAAGCATTTAATTCCATGAGTTACGAAGAAATGTTGCTCCCCTGGTCCTGGACATGAGTCACACATGCCCAAGTAAAAGTGAGGGAAATGTGAAAAAAAAGAAAACATAAATAATCACCAGACACTTTCCACAATAATCTCTTAGGTGGAAAACTTCAGACTTCTCTCTATATTCAGTTCTTTGCTAGCAATATTAAGAGAGAGAATGGTAAAATGCTCCCCCATCTCATTTTGCCATTAATGGAGAAAGTTATATGAGAAAAAGAAAGAAAATGTTTATTATATCCTATGTATAATGTTCTACAATGTCTCTTATCACCAAGACATATGAGAACTCACAAGACATTTCTGAAGAACAAATAATATATAAAATCCAGAAAGATACAGTTTTTTAAGCCAAACTCTGTGCTCTGTGTCTGTATTGCTTTATTATTGTTGTTGTGTTTGTTGTTGTTAAAGACCTGTACTAACATACTTGAACTTTGTTGACTTTTGTGAAAAAATAAAGCTGTAAAATTTTATTACAAATTTAAAATGAGGTTCTTAATAATCTCAATTTGAGAGCTTGGTCTCTGCGCTCTGGAAGGTACACACATGGTTTACATTTGGCAGCCAATCAAATAGACTGGGGTCCTGAGCAGTCTCTTTTTCTGGCTTGGCTGTGCCAGCTCTAAGGGAAATTTGTCATACGAGGTGCCCATAAGGGGCCTTTGTCATCCTCACCTTCGTTGTGTCAACCTGTACAACAAAGGTCCTTTACTCTCTTAAGACTATTTTGGGGAGTAAACTTTCTAGATCTTGTGAAGGCTGCATCCTTTGCACTCTCTTGTGGGGACCCCTCTAGCGTGTTATTGATTTGTGTCACTATTAACATATATCTCATCAATGGCCAGACAATGGATCCTTTAAATTGGGGAAACATCTAAATTGGTGAAATTTTAGAGCGCTCTCATAAACAGCCATTTTATTGGTACCTATGAAAAAACAAATTAGAAGGTGGTAAAAAAAATAGCTAACCTAAGAACTCCCTCAGTTTAAAACAAAACAAAACAAAACAACCAGTTTGAGAAGCCTCATTTGTGGTCTCAACTTACCCTCAATGGGTCTTACAGATGCTAATGAACAGGAGATTGTTAATTAGGTTGATTAACAGGAAAACAAGAACCTGAGAGAAAGTCTATAGATTTCTTTCCAAAAAGGTGAAAAATTTAAAGGGACTCATCCCAAAAGGATAAAAATCTTCAGATGGTTATTAAGAAATGGGATAAATAAAACAGATGTTAATGGGATTAAAACAAAAGGTTTTGATACAACACTACCTAAGGTTGGATGGGCCAAAGGGACCCCCTATGGTCCCCAACATTAAAGGGCCCCAAACAAGTCCATCTATTTACCCCAGTTAAAATATATATATGCTTTTTATCCAGTTGTAACCCAATTTTTACCCAATGTGTAACCACGCCTCTTGACAAAATTAATGATGGCTAAACATCTTGAGATGGTAGATCATACATTGAACTCTATATAGAATTAATTGTAATAGTGCAACTCTAGATGTGGGAAGAAGCAACAAGGGAAAACATCCCCTGGATCATAACAGACTAGTAAAACAGAAGATCCAGAGAATTTTAGGCTACTAACAGGGCCTAATCCAAAATTTAGCACATTGAGTAGCCTATCAACACAATCCTCACCTGATCTAGGAATGAACCTTCTCAGCACCTTGGGACAAATTGGTCAAGAAATGCCTCCCAAACCTTGGTCTAATTTACAACCAAGAGGGGGTGCTGTGGAAAAAAAAATGTTGCCTGCCATTCCAGTAAACAAAGAATATTGCCAGCCATCAGCTGCCAATGTAACCGCGCCCCCCCAACCCAAGGTGTGCCCTGGGGAGAATTCAGATGGAGAAAAACATGATATGCACATAGATAGTTAAAATGCATATCAAAGGAATAATTTCAATGAGCTAGACTCTTGCATCTTCGCAGACATAGAAAAGTGCTAAATTCATTAACTTGACAGGTCTGGTTTTTGTGGTTAGCGGTAATCTTTTGATGTTCGACTACACATTTCGGGGGTTTTTTTTCCTGCCAAGACTCCTATATATCCTGGCTCCTCCCTTACCTCTTTGGAACAGATCCTCCGAGCTATCTGAGAGGCTGTTTCCTGGGCTGTATAGTACTCAGTAAGGTCCCTGAATAAAACACGTTTTTCTTCAGTTAACAGTGTCTTCATCAGGAAACCAAAACAAGTCATTTACAAAAGGCTATCCTTCTCCCAAATCAATAGCTGCTTTACATAACTCACTGTTTCTTTTCTGTACTAGCTTCATTATTTGCAAAGCTAACTAAAAAATAAACCACAATAGCACAGGGTTTTCACAATGACAACTATTCTAACAAAAGAGGAGTTGTGATACTATGATTTATAATAAGAAATATATATTTGGTCTTTGTCCCAGTTTCCTGGTACAGAGCTCCTAAAACCCCCGGAATCTCTGAAGTGCTAAGTGTCTTTCTGTATGCAAGTGAGATGGCTGGTGGCTGGGGGTTCCCAGATTAGCCTCAGAATGAGGGCTGGTTGCCAGGGGAACCAACCAGGTGATTAGAGAGTTGGAACTTTGTAAATTATTTATTTATTTATTTAGGCTGCACATGGTCTTCATTGTGGCATGCGGGACCTTTTTAGTTGCGGCATGAGGACTTCTTAGTTGCGGCATGCAGACTCTTAGTTATGGCATGCGATCTCTTAGTTGCAGCATGCATGCCGGATCTAGTTCCCCAACCAGGGATCGAACCTGGGCCCCCTGCACTGGGAGCACGGAGTCTTACCCACTGGATGACCAGGGAAGTCCCCAGAGTTGGAACTTTTAATTCCACCCCATCCCCTGACCTCCATGCAGGGAAGAGGAGCTAGAGGTTAAGTGGATCACTAATGGCCAATGATTTAATTAATTACACCTATGTAATGAAGCCTCAATAAAAAGCCCCAAAGTACACAGGTTCAGAGAGGTTCTGGGTTGCTGCACACGTGGAGCGCCAGAGAGGGTAGCTCACCCGAATAGGGCATGGAAGCTCCATGTCCCTTTCCACGTACCTTACCTTATACATCTCTTCCATCTGGCGGTTCCTGAGTTATATCCTTTGATAATAAACCAGCAATATAGTAAGTAAATGGGCTTCCTGAGTTCTTTGAGCTATTTTAGCAAATGATCAAAGCTAAGGAGGGGAACATGAGAACCTCTGATTTATAGCCAGTTGGTCAGAAGTTCAGGTGATAACCTGGACTTGTGACTAACCTCTGAAGTGAGAGGGGCAGGGGTCTTATGACGCCTGTGGGATCTGATGCTATTTCCAAGTAGATAGTGTCAGAGTTGAGTTAAATTGTGGGATACTCAGTCGGTATCCACTAGAGAGCTGAAGAACTGCTTTGGTGTGAGAAAACTCCCACACATGTGGTCACAGAAATGTCCAGTAAGAGTATTGAGAGCAGAAGGGAAACAGGAGATTTTTCCTTACAGGAGGCTTTTATTTGCAGACAAATTCCTCAACTACAGGAAATACCCTCGCAGTCTCTGTCCGTAAACATCACCATCATACCTAGAAGCATTATTAGATGACGAATATTAAAAATAATAATACATACTTATAAAATCTTTCCCTCCCTACCCGGGTCCAATGTGCCCATGCTAAAGATGTGATGGAGACAGTGAAGGTGATGATGCTGCCCCCTTGTGTTAAAATATGGCAACAAAGCCCCCTCACAGCAAAGATACAGGTTAAAACGTCCTGATTGATAGTTTTGACCAAAAATATACCAAGCAACAGGATTTGCTGCTAATTCAAGGTAGAGTTTGAGTAGCTCCTCAGACATTTAGATTCATATTTATTACCACTGGAGTCCATGGCACAAAAGGACAGTCATTGCTATATTAAGTTCACGTGTGGCATCTTCCACTTCAAGAAAGAATAAGACATTAGGACTGCAGAGGGGTATTTTAGTGAGAATATAACAAAGACTTGGAAAAAACATGAATGGCATATTTTCATCTTCTAGATATGGAAGACATCCTCTGACAGGGAACTATAAAGAGGTCATAACTACAAGGAATTAGAATTTGACACTAGATATTTTTCAAAGCTCAGAAACTTCAGTATTCCCCAAAAAAATGATGGAGAACAATAGAGGCATTAATGACTTTACTGGATCAACATCATAGTGTTCCAGATTACAAAGAGCAATAATCTACTGTGTGTGGGCCAGAAAAAGATCACATGTCAACTGATGAAAAGAG